CAACGTTTATTTATTTTTGGGACAGAGAGAGACACAGAGCATGAACGGGGGAGGGGCAGAGAGAGAGGGAGACACAGAATCGGAAACAGGCTCCAGAGCCTGATGCGGGGCTCGAACTCACAGACCGCGAGATCGTGACCTGGCTGAAGTCGGACGCCCAACCGACTGCGCCACCCAGGCGCCCCGAGTTTAAGTATAATCTTGATCGGTGCTAACGTCTGGTCTCTGTATTCTATGAGGCAGAAAAATGGATTTAATGTCCATGCTCTGAATGAAATAATGAAAAGAGGAGAGACGTACTCTCACAAGCAGCGACACCAGGGATTTAAATATATTATCTATGGTCCCTGCTGTCAGTGCATGGATTTAAGGATGGAGCGGAGTTATTTTATCAGGAGTCAGATACCAGTGACTCAATGGAAGTGGACTGGGATTAGGTGAGCTTGTTTTTTTTTTTTTTTCCCAGTGATGTGGTATTTGCTCAAGCTATACAGATATGATCTTCAAGTTATGTATAATTGCAACTATGGGAGACTACCCAGTTTGACTCATATGAGGATGAAAGGTAATACTATACATTTTAAAGTAAAGATCACATATATATGTGACTCTGTATTTATATATATGCTTACAAATAATAAATATATGTATGTGTCTATATGCAAATATATCTATATGTAATGAATATATGCATGTGTGCACATGTACATGCATGCACACCCACATATATATATGTGTATATATATTTGTATATATACATGTGTATGTGTATTGGTATATATACATGTGTATATGTATTGGTGTATATACATATACATATATATACACACACACACCGATATTCATATGTTGAAAATCTAACTCCCCATACCTCAGAATATGACTATATTTGACAATAAAGCCTTTGAGGAGATAATTAACTTAAAATGAGGTCGTTAGAGTGGACGCTAATCCAAGATCACTGGTATCATAAAAAGAGATCAGAACACAGAAACACAGAGAGGAATGACCATGTGGAGACAGAAAGAGAAGACCACCATCTACAAGTGAAGGAGAGAGGACTAGGAAGAAATTCACTCCGTTTCACCTTCAGACTTACAGATTCTGTAACGGTGAGAAATAGGTTGCTGCTGTGAAAGCCACCAGTCTGTGGCACTTTGTTATGGTAGCCTGAGCAAGTTAATACAATCAGCCTCAGCACAGATGCCTATGTATTTACACATGTGTGTATAAATGTATGTGTGCGCCTGTGTGTATTTCCGGATGAATTAAGGAAGAAGCAAAGGAATGACAAAGATTTTCTACATATGTGAAAAATGTACAGGTGAGATGTGACCACAATCTTTAATAAAAATATATAGCAAGAAGACAAAGACACAAACTAAAGCAAAACATTTCTATTTTAATATTGAGATGATCAATAGCATTCATAATTTTTCTCAATTTAATGGTTAATGTGAGAAGTAGACTTTATTGATATACCAATTTTTACCAAACAGTTTTTTCATCGCTTCTTTTACATCTTTGTTCCTTAAACTGTAGATGATGGGATTCAGCATGGGAATCACAATCGTGTAAAATGTTGAGACTATCATGTCATGGTCCAGAGCATAGCTGGAACTTGGTCTCACGTACGTGAAGAGGATGGTTCCATGATATATTGACACTCCAGTTAGGTGAGAGCCACATGTAGAAAAGACTTTCCGCCTCCCTGCAGCAGAATGAATCTTCAGAATGGCCAACAGAATGAAACCATAGGAGATCAGAACTATCAGGATAGTGACGATCTCAATGGAGCCCACAAGGTAGGAGAGCAGGAGCTGGTTTGTGTGAGTGTCAGAACAAGAAATGGCGAGGAGAGGAGGGATGTCACAAAAGACATGTCTAATTTCATTGGATGCGCAGAAGGACAGGCTGAATGTGGCCACTGTGTGTATGGAAGCATGCAAAATGCCACCCACGTAGGAAGCAACGATGAGTGGCACATAGACTCTGGGTGACATGCTCACTGAGTACAGGAGAGGGTTGTAGATGGCGACATAGCGGTCATATGCCATTGCAGCCAAGAGAAAGCATTCTGTGGTCCC